GACGAAAGAACTCAGTCATGAACCAGGTCAATCTTGTGAAGCGACAGTCATGATCAACTTATACATGTGAGATGCACGTGAATGAGATAAGTCTTACTGATCAAGAAGCAATATCTCTTGATCTAATTGAAAAGGTTGCATATTGGATAAGGGGAGAAAGTCTCCTTATATGAAGAAAACACAATCTACGATGAAGATAGTATTAGAGTTTGAGATCATTATGAACTCTTCCACGATAGAAGAGTAGCAATTGGGTCCCAATAAAACTCTGATTACTAACCTATTAAATGTAAGTGTTGTTCTCTTTTACAGGTAATGCACATACGCAGAAGTTAAACAAAATTGAGAGAAAAAGAGCAAGGCTATTTTGCAAGCAATTTATGTGTGATTTGAGTGTGCACTCCTGAAGCTACTTGAATAAGATAGAAGAACCAGTTCGATTGTGTCTATCTTTTATTCTAGTTCAATTGTAGTAGGTGGCTTAAAATTGTACCTTTCAGCTTTTATAGAAGTAATTATATTAGGTACCTAGAGTGTTCAAGTTATAGCTAACTTGAAGTTGTCGCAACAGTTGAGGCTGTGTGACATAATAGGATTAGAGTTAATCGTTAGGTTTACAAAGAGTTTTTGTAAATGCTGTTTTGGCTCAGTAATTTTAGTGGAAGTTTGGGAAAATCCTACTGAGTAGTAGGTCAAGGTTTTTTCACCTTTTGAGCCAGGTGTTTTCTACGTAAAAATCTCTGTGTTCTTTATTTTCTGTATTTATTATTCCGCAAACAGTAGTAGTTGGAACACCTAGAAGAACCAGGTTCTTCTATAGTTCAGTTAAGCGAAAATTGGGTACCACACAAATCACCCCCTCCTGTGTGGTGTTGACGCTTAAAACATCAAGTATCTTACCTTATTTTATGTGAGAGAAATTACACCCAGGACTTGGTCTATTTGACTATTTGTACTTTGTGAAAAGACGTGTACACGAGGTGACAAGTGTGTACACGGGCGTTTGTGTGGTAATTGACCGAATTAGACTCTTAGGCTATTAATATGCTTTGATTTGAAATTGTTGTTATGTGAAATAACAACAACAACAATAACAATACCCCAGTATAATCCCACAAGTGGGGTTTGGGGAGGGTAATATGTACGCAGACCTTACCCCTACCCCGAGGGGCAGAGAGACTGTTTCCAGGAGACCCTCGGCTCAAGAGAGCAACAAGAGACAATATTAGTACTATCAATAGACTCATAGTAAATAACATAAAATAACAAAATAACAACAATATAAGAAATATAGGAAATACGAAAAGGATGTAAGGTATACTAATATCCAACAGATACAGCCATCATCAGTAGCTGATTAGTAGCATCCTAAGTCTAAATCCTAAATGGCTAGTCTCCCTCTAGTGCGTTGTAGTAATATTCACAAACTTCCCCCTAACCTACAACCTTAATGCTCGACCTCCACAATTCCCTGTAAAGGGCCATGTCCTCAGAAATCCTAAGTCGTGTCATGCCCTGCCTAATCACCTCCCCCCAATACTTCTTAGGTTTCCCTCTACCTCTCCCCGTGCCCACCACAGTCAGTCGCTCACACCTCTTCACTGGTGCATCAGTGCTCCTCCTCTGAATGTGCCTGAACCATCCGAGTCTTGCTTCTAGCATCTTGTCCTCCATGGGGGCCACGCCCACCTTCTCTCGAATATCTTCATTCCTAATCTTGTCCATCCTTGTATGCCCGCACATCCACCTCAGCATCCTCATCTCTGCTACTTTCATCTTCAGGATGTGTGAATTTTTAACCGGCCAACACTCGGTCTCATACAACATAGAAGGCCTAACCACTGCTCTATAAAACTTACCTTTTAGTAACGGTGGCACTTTCTTGTCACACAAGACTCCCATTGCTAGCCTCCACTTCATCCACCCCACCCATATACGATGTGTGACATCCTCGTCGATCTCTCCGGTCCCCTGAATAACTGACCCAAGGTACTTGNTCATGGCACCTCCCCTTGAATATGATGTGTTATGGTATCCATCACCAGGACAAATAGGAAAGGGCTGAACGCAGACCCTTGGTGCAACCCCATAACAACCGGAAAATGGTCGGAGTCGCCTCCTACTATCATAACCAGAGTCTTAGCTCCATCATACATGTCTTTAATCACCCTAATGTAGTCAACCGGGACCCCTTTAACCTCTAGGCATCTCCTTAGGACCTCCCTAGGAACCATGTCGTACGTTTTCTCTAGATCGATAAACATCATGTGGAGATCCTTCTGTTATATGAAATACATTGCATTATTGATTTATTTCCCGTACTCTTTTATTGTTGATGAAATTCTTGTACACATTGTTGTTGAGTTGTGGGCTATGTATTATTGTGGCATTGGTATTATTGGCTGAGCAATATTGTGGCATACAGGCACGTGGTGGTTTAATGTTGTGTTGTGATTGAGATGCGCATGTGGAGACATAAGGGTGTGTATATTGAAGCGTATGCGACGAGACAAGGGGGCTTATGCGCGTGGTGCATAAGGGGAAATGCTTCATTGTGATGCACACGAGGCGAGATAAGGAGGCTAAAATGCGTGAAGCCATTTTCGAAAAAATGTTTTAAAAATGTGAAGCTCATACGACAAATGTGAAGTTCATTGGGGTGATTCTTGTTGTTATCGTTGAGTTTAAATGGCTTGATGATTTGAGCATATCATTATTTCCTTAACTATTTTCACTTTGTGTTTTTCTTATTTTGGTTAATTTGTCGAGTTATCACATACTTACCTTTTGTTGTCATTTATTGATTATGTTCTCCGTTGTTAGCTCTATATTGAAATTCTGCACAGGTTATATGTCTAGTGAGTGACTTGACTTGAACCTCGTCACTACTCCACTAATATTAGTCTTGATACTTACTGGGTACCATTTGTGGTGTACTCATACTACACTTTTGTATATTTTTATGCATGTCCAGGTACCTCGGATTGTGCCAGGCGGTAGAGAGTTGAGCTAGAGTTGCGAAGACTTAAAGGTATACCTGTTATTCCGCTCGCAGGTCTCGGAGTTACCTTCCATTGTGTTTCCTTATTTGTGTTATTTGTATTCCAAAAGAGTGATGTATTTCAGATTTTTAGTGTATTTACAGTAGAGCTTATGACTTCGTACTACCGATTTTAGGGATGTATGATTATTATATTCCGCTATTGGTGTTATGCCTTTATCAGTTTTTGTTTTAATAGTTGAAGTGGTTTAATTCTGTTGATTCATTATGTGTTAGATTTACTTAGTTTTAGAGACTAAGTGCTATCACGATCCTTAATGTAGAATTTTGGATCGTGACAAAGAGTTATTGCGACAGTTGTGAAAGAACAAGGAACAACAGGAAGGCAGTTGGTTGGTTTTTTTGTTGGTAAATTTTCAATAACTATACTTCGGATCAGTTCCAATTCTTTATAACATAATTAACCATGCTTAAGTGAGAGAAGCCCTTACATAAACACATATCACACTTCAAATAATTTGGTGTAATCATCGGGAGTAAATAAATTTTGTATCATATGTCATATGTCTTAATTTATGTGATATTCTTTTCTTTTTAGTTTATAAAAATTGATACCTTTTTATATTTAAAAAAAAAATAACTTCTAACTTTTTATTTTACCTCTAATAAAATGATTTATAAACACAAAATTTTCTATGGCTTGTTTTAGACAATAAGTTTCATAATTGTTTTTCTTTTAAATTTCATGCACAATCAAGCAATCTCACATAAATTTGGACGGAGAGAATAATAATTTATAAAAGTTTTGAGTTTATAATCTAATTAAAATGAAGATAGATACCACATTTTTTTCTTAAAAATCAGACTATAAAAAAGTAAATATTGTTTACATGATCATGTTTATAGGAGTAACTTAAATTCATAATTTCTAACGTATCCATAAAGCTGAAAAGTAACAAAGGAAATGTGGAAGAAACTTAGAGATAGTTTGTAGGATGCATTAGAGAAAATAATGTATGTATTAATTTTTGGTATTATTAATCTCTTGTTTGGTATGCTTTTTCAATTTATAGGGCTCAAACCCGAGACCTCTGCTTAAGGGAAGAACAGTCACATCCACTGCACCACATCCTTTGGTGGTAATATATGTATTACTAATGCAAGCATTAGTTATATAACCAATTTGGTATTATCATATGTATAACTAATACATAACAAACCATGGTATTAGCAATTAATGCATGCATTAACATGGTTAAAGATAAAATTGTCCTTAAAATATTTTAAAGCTAAAGAATATGGAGAACTTTTTAATAAACAACTAATTTTCTTAAAACTTATGTAATGCATTTTAATTTTTAATATACCATACCAAATATTGGATAAGAAATAATCTTTGCTTAATTAATACTTACATTAATAACATGTATGTTATTATTTCTTTATATTACTAATCTACATTATTTTTATACATCCTAAACGATCCTTAGAGAAAATATTTCCATGTGAACAGGCTTTTGCCAGGCGTACAAGACGTCACTATACAGAGCAAACACGCCAACTTTTTTCCATTCTCATGCTTACTGAAAAGTAATCTCAGAAGACCCTCTTTCACTTTTTACCTCTCTAAGCCAAAAATATTCTCATTTTTTCAACAAATTAAACAATAACAGTGAATGCTCTCACAGGAGGGAGCACATGATTTGTAAGAGATAGAGGAAAAAAAGTATAATACCAAGAATAAAAAAGGACAGCATAGTGCATTAATCTTTTTGCTGCGCGAGTCAAGAAAAGAACCGAAATTAATCTTTTGCTGCGCGAATCATAAGATTTTATTGTATACAACTTTAGCTTATATTTATATAAAAATTTATTTTTTATGGTTGGAACCATAAATTCTTAGTCACATTATAATAACTTTAATGTTTTTTCAAGTATAAAAGAAAAAGTAAACTCCTTTCTGTTTTTGCAGGCTTGTAATTTGTGTCCACACTCTCAAATTCCTCTTTATCTTTTGTTTGGATCATCTTCACCATAATCGCTAATCTTCTCTTTCCTCTCCCTAACCCTCACTACCTAATTTATACATACAACTCCACCTCCACAAGTATATAGTCAAAGTTCAAACTTTTACCTTATCTATAAATTCATTTTTGGGTTAAATCCAATAATTATATGTATATATAGCTAAAGAGCATAGACAAAAGTTGGGTAGGTAGGTGGGTTCAAACAATAGAAGATGGAATTTGATGAAGAACATGAAGACCAAGAAGATGAAATTGCTAATATTTCTCAAATACCAGCAACAACTGAGAATAATTACCAAGAATTTGGAGAAGGTGGTCCAATTTCACAAGCAGCTGCAACTTTAAGGAAAAACAATGTTCCTAGTCCTAGATATAGAGAGTGCTTAAAAAATCATGCCGTAGGTATAGGTGGACAAGCTGTAGATGGCTGCGGAGAATTTCTGCCTGCAGGTGAAGAAGGTACTTTAGATGCTCTAAAATGTGCTGCTTGTAATTGTCACAGAAATTTCCACCGTAAAGAAGTTGAAGGAGAAATATTAAACTTCCACCACACTACCCCACCACCCATCCTTCACCACCCAGCCCACCACTACCCATATCGTTATCTCCAAAGGCCATTGGCATTACCATCAGTTTCTTCAAGAGAGGATATTGAGGATTATGTATCTAACCCTACTAGTAGTGGTGGGGGTGGGAGTGGTTCGAGAAAAAGGTTTAGGACAAAGTTCACACAAGACCAAAAGGAGAAAATGTTTGCTTTTGCTGAAGGATTGGGATGGCGTATTCAGAAGGAAAATGACGCAGCAGTGCAGCAGTTTTGTGCAGAGACAAATATTAGGAGACAAGTTTTCAAGGTTTGGATGCACAATAACAAGCACACTCTTGGTAAAAAACCCTAATTTATTTTACCTAGAGTAGTTAATTATCGTAATTTGATGATTTAGTTGAGATTTAGAACTACTCAAGTAGGGTTTCTAGACTTTTTTATATAACCTTAATTATTTTTTTCTATTTCTCCACCTGAATATTCCCTATGCTTTTTCAGTTGTTCTTGTCCTTTTTTCTTTTAGGGCTGTATTCTTAGCTGGATGTCCATTTCCTGAACTGTCTAAGCATCAATATCTAATTGTATTAAATTCTCTTAGTAAAACTACTAGCTATGTGAGTCTTAATTAAAATATGAAGCTATGTTCTTTCTGGCAGTTTCTTGATTTCGTTAGCTAGCTTGTGTTTTACTATCAAAAGATCACATTGATGCATTTTTTGGTGAAGATTTGGTGTACGTGTTCAACATGCAAATAAGGTTGCAGTTTCCTATTTGTCATCTTCTCTAGATCTTTCACATGTTCCATTGTGCTGCGGCTTGCACATTATCATCTGTATCTTTATTTTGGTTTTGATAGTTTATACTCCGTTAACAGACTATTTTGAGTTGAGGAATCCGTTACTAAAAGCTGATGGCCTTTGACTGCTTTAATGTGTAAACTTAACATATGGCACTTGTTCTTCAAACATACACCATATTGTCTTGGCACTTGTTCTTCAAACATACACCATATTGTCTTCTTCATATATAAATTCTCTTACCAACCTCATCGTCTTGTTTTGTTTCGTTGGATCTGGGGGAGGGGGGTGGTTGTTGCGCTGAGGGGCTCATTTTTTAAGATATAACTATATAAAGGAGTTACTGATTTCCTTGATTTTAAATAAAATATAACAGATTAGCTCATTCAGTTATACTTGGAGTATATATTATTCTTAATTTTTGGTTAGCATAAGGATCGATGGCGCCCTGTGTTTTATTTGTTCTTCTAGTAATTCAAGTCTTTGCTCTTGATACATTTGAAAGTTATAATATATAGTATGCTGTATGCATATATATACATTTTCTTCACTGGAAATTTGTAGAATTCTCCCTAGCTCGTTTATGCTGTTTGTTATGCATGAACAAGAAGTAGAAAATACTAACTATATGTTCATGTCCCCGAACATGGACGTATGCAAGACATATTGTAGATGCTTATTTAATTTGTTGTGGTTGAGATGGTTACGTTTGAGAATACAGAGTATGAAGAGGTGGTAGGGAGCAAAGACAAGTTAGACTTGTTCAATTAATTCAACTGAATATTGCTTTCCCCTTGATCGGCAAGTACATATATGCAAGTGGCAAAATCAATAATTTTTTCAAGTGTATTCAAATTTGAAAGAAGTTAAAAAAATCCCGACAAAAGGTGTTCAATTATTTATAAAATATACCTTTAAAATCAAATATTTTACCTATAAATGCAATTTAGTTTTTCGAGAAGGGTGATCATCAATTGACCACCTTATCAGAGTATAGCTTCGCCCCTGCATATATGCTGCATCACTTTCATTTTACGTCCCAACAATTAATGAGAATGCAGAAACATAGTAGGTCAACGGACATGTAGGATTGTTCTAGAATGTTCTAGATCTTATTGAAGTTAGTTAAGTGAGTTAGTTAGATAGTTAGTGGAAAATAGTCATTAGTAATTTTTATATATTTGCACATACACTGTACAGACGACCTCTTAACAGAAAATGAAGTATTCTTTCTTCATATGATATTTCTCTCTCTAAACTCTCTTCCCCAATTCTCTTCTAGCAATTAGGGTTCATACATTGCCCCTAATTTCACATGGTATCATAGCACTCATCGCAATTGCAAGTGTGAATTACTGGTTTTTGGAAGATCATGTTCTATATACAAGCAGTCTACAGAAGTTGAGAGCTCACCAATGGTGGCAAGGACAGAACTGGATCATAACCATCTACTTTTCCTTCATCCTTCTGATACAACAAGTGCGCCGATTATATCGATCCAGCTGACTGGTTCAGATAATTACACTACTTAGAGTCGAGCGATGGAGATCCAACTGCTTGGGAAGAACAAGCTATGACTGGTCGACGGGACTCTGAGAAAAGGTGATTTTAAAGACGAACTAGGTCACCAATGGGATCGTTGTAATGCGATAGTTCTGGGATGGATAATGAGTTCAGTATCGAAGGAATTGATAACTGGAATAGTCTATGCCAAAAATGCTAGGGCTGTTTGGGATGATATGAGGGAGCGTTTTGATAAAGCGAATACTTTATGAGTCTATCAACTACACAAAGGAATAGCAACAGTTACGCAAGGTACTGATAGTGTATCAGTGTACTTCTCTAAATTGTGCAGTCTTTGGGATGAATTTGACAATATGGTACCACCTCCACGTCACTATCCAAGATCTAAAAACTTTATCGAGTTCATGCAAAAGCAGAAAGTTCTACAATTCCTAATGGGCTTAATTGAAACATATGAGCAAACTATGATCCAGATTCTGATGATTAGTCCGTCTCCAAGAATCAACAAAGCATACTCAATGCTAGTTGAAAGAGAGAGTCAGAGGACAGTAAATAACACTACAACAACAGGGGATGGAAATGAACTTGCAGCCCTTCTATCTGGTAAAAATGATGCATATCAGAACTATCAAAGCCCAAAGAGGAATTGTAATGTTCAATGTAACTATTACATGATAAAGGGACATGCAAAGGAAGGATGCTACAAGCTGATTGGGTACCCGGCAGGTTTCAAAGGAAAAAGGAAGATGAACATGAACACTGCATACAATGCATGCGCTGAGAATGCTAATCCAAACATAGGAACTGGGCAACTTGATGGATGTAATAAAGGAGAAATGACCAGAGCACCATAGCTGACCGCAGAGCAATATGATCAAATAATAAAGATGCTGAACCTCAATATCAATCGTGAACAAGCACATGAGAATGTGGCTAACATGGCAGGTAATACTGCATTCTCATTTCTTGTTGATGTAACAAAGGCTCATTGGATAATAGACATAGGTGCAACCAATCATATGGTTGCAGATCTGAGGTTATTAAAAGATATTAAAGTAGTTGATGTTAAAGACACTAAGAAAGTTAATTTTTCAAATAGAGAAATACACATGTTACACATAATGGTAACTGCAGGATAACAAGAATAGTGGAGGTTAAAAATGTCCTATTTATACCAGATTTTCAGTATAACCCCATGTCTGTTTTCAAAGTCACAAGAGATCTTAGATGCTTAGTTGCATTCTACCCTAATTTTTGTTTGTTCTAGAACCTCTTCACTAGGGAGGTGAAGGGGATTGGTAAAGAAAGTAATGGACTCTATTTGTTGGTTTCACAAACAAATAATGTAGCAGAACTGAAAGAAAGGGAGAATGCAAGAGGACTAACAACACAAGAGAATAGAGTGGAGGCAATCATCTTGCACACGAGACTGGGACATGCTTCAGGAGGACCTATGAAGCAGCTCCTAGGATACAATTTAGATATTTATCAATATGTAGTAAATAAATGTGAAGTATGTCCACTAGCTAAGCATCATAGATCACCTTTCTCTTTGAGTACTAGTAGATCAAATAAGGTGTTTGAACTTTTACATTTGGATGTATGGGGACCCTATACTACACCAACTTTTGATGGAAATAAATACGTTCTCACTATTATGGATGACTACTCTCGTGTGACATGGATTTTCTTGTTAAAGCTAAAGTCAGATGTCATCATAGTTTTGAGGAACTTTATTAGAATGGTTGGAACTCAATTTAATGTCGTGATTAAAACAATTAGATCAAATAATGGAGGGGAGTTTGTGAACTCAGGAATGCAGGACCTATGTGGAACAATGAGAATTATACACCGTAGGACATGTGTATACACATCCCAACATAATGGGGTAGCAGAAAGGAAGCACAAATATATACTTGAAGTAGCCAAGGCAATGAAGTTTCAGGGGTACATTCCTCTCAAGTTTTGGGGTCATTGTGTTTTAGCTGCTACTTATGTGATAAATAAACTACCATAGGTAGTCCTTCAAGGGAAATCGCCCTATGAGGTTTTCTTTAACAAGAGACCTTCTATCACTCACTTGAGAACTATAGGATGTCAATGTTATGCTGCTACATTGCCAAAGGCAGATAAATTTGGAAGCCGGACAATAATGTCAGTGTTTATAGGATATTATAATGTAACTAAAGGATACATTCTGCATGATATGTCAAAAAATGTATTTTTTACAAACATGGATGTTACTTTTAGGGAGGATGTATTCTTATTTCAATTGAAATCAGTAGAGGCAAGTCAGACAATGGATCTTTTTCTCACTAATGATGATCACAACATGCCAATGCCTACAACAACACCAGACCATGATGTCAATGTGCCCATAACCACTGCTGCATCATGTCCACCTCTATTGAACTCAAACATTAATACCACAATTGATACTGCAACTTATCATGATTTTCATATTGCTCCCATGCCTTAAGATGCACCTGAGATTGAGTCACCTGATTCAGAAGTACCCACAGAAGAGACACCTTCACTGCCAAGTTGTGCTAACGCCAATGTTCCTTTAAGAAGATCTCAAAGAGGATCCAAGGAACCTGTATGGATGATTGACTATCTCTACTAGCTCAGTCTTATATCCTATTGAAGAGTCTGTCACATATGACAAATTATCATTATCTCATCAGTTGTATCTTGGAGCTTTTTCAGCAATCATAGAGCCTAAAAACTTTTAGCAGGCTTTTCAAGATCAAAGGTGGGTAGATGCAATGCAGGCAGAAATTGAAGCATTACAGGAAAATAACACTTGGAAATTGGTCAAATAACCAGCAGGCAAGAGGGCTATAGGGTGAAAATGGGTATACAAGATGAAGCTCAAGGCCAATGGTGAAGTGGAGAGATTTAAAGCTATATTAGTAGCTAAAGGATATAATTAGAAAGAAGGTTTATATTATAATTGTCACGCCCCGAACCTGGGCCTGGACGTAATACGGCACTCGGTGCCTGACTATTTGTGACCGAGCGAACCAACTGGCTGGCTCAATCAACATGTGATATCATAACATTCTAAATGCTGAAGATAAACTAACACATGCTGATATACTGAAAGTTTGAATGATAAAAATCAAAGTGCAAAAATACTAATACAACTTTGAAACATATTTGTAGTCAACATAGCTTAATATGAAAAGTATGTGACTCTTTCTAGCTGTTACTCTAGTCTATAAAGCCTCTAATGAAGTACTGAAAACACTGACTATCTGAAAATACTGAAGACTGTAAGATAATGATAATGCTCAAAAAG